TTCAAACAGGTGCCATTAATACAGGTAACAAGTGGAGGACAGAGGAAACTCTTAAAGAAGAAGTTACAGGTCTGTGAGAGCCAGAAATCTTGCTTGTTTGTAGGTGACAAATACTTATTTTCCACCATAATTTGCAAATAAATTCATTAAAAATCCTACAATGTGATTTTCTGGATTTTTTTTTCTCAATTTGTCTGTCATAGTTGACGTGTACCTATGATGAAAATTACAGGCCTCTCTCATCTTTTTAAGTGGGGAGAACTTGCACAATTGGTGGCTGACTAAATACTTTTTTTCCCCACTGTATATATATATATATGTATGTGTATATATGGCACCCCAACCACAGTTGAGTGATCAAGGAGGAATGGGTATATATATATATATATATATATATATATATATACAGTGGGGGGGAAAAGTATTTAGTCAGCCACCAATTGTGCAAGTTCTCCCACTTAAAAAGATGAGAGAGGCCTGTAATTTTCATCATAGGTACATGTCAACTATGACAGACAAAATGAGAAAAAAAATCCAGAAAATCACATTGTAGGATTTTTTATGAATTTATTTGCTAATTATGGTGGAAAATAAGTATTTGGTCAATAACATAAGTTTCTCAAAACTTTGTTATATACCCTTTGTTGGCAATGACTCAGGACAAACGTTTTCTGTAAGTCTTCACAAGGTTTTCACACACTGTTGCTGGTATTTTGGCCCATTCCTCCATGCAGATCTCCTCTAGAGCAGTGATGTTTTGGGGCTGTCGCTGGGCAACACGGACTTTCAACTCCCTCCAAAGATTTTCTATGGGGTTGAGATCTGGAGACTGGCTAGGCCAATCCAGGACCTTGAAATGCTTCTCCCTTTGCAGAAAAAGAGCCCCAAAGCATGATGTTTCCACCCCCATGCTTCACAGTAGGTATGGTGTTCTTTGGATGCAACTCAGCATTCTTTGTCCTCCAAACACGACGAGTTGAGTTTTTACCAAAAAGTTATATTTTGGTTTCATCTGACCATATGACATTCTCCCAATCCTCTTCTGGATCATCCAAATGCACTCTAGCAAACTTCAGACGGGCCTGGACATGTACTGGTTTAAGCAGGGGGACACGTCTGGCACTGCAGGATTTGAGTCCCTGGCGGCGTAGTGTGTTACTGATGGTAGGCTTTGTTACTTTGGTCCCAGCTCTCTGCAGGTCATTCACTAGGTCCCCCCGTGTGGTTCTGGGATTTTTGCTCACCGTTCTTGTGATCATTTTGACCCCACGGGGTGAGATCTTGCGTGGAGCCCCAGATCGAGGGAGATTATCAGTGGTCTTGTATGTCTTCCATTTCCTAATAATTGCTCCCACAGTTGATTTTTTCAAACCAAGCTGCTTACCTATTGCAGATTCAGTCTTCCTAGCCTGGTGCAGGTCTACAATTTTGTTTCTGGTGTCCTTTGACAGCTCTTTGGTCTTGGCCATAGTGGAGTTTGGAGTGTGACTGTTTGAGGTTGTGGACAGGTGTCTTTTATACTGATAACAAGTTCAAACAGGTGCCATTAATACAGGTAACGAGTGGAGGACAGAGGAGCCTCTTAAAGAAGAAGTTACAGGTCTGTGAGAGCCAGAAATCTTGCTTGTTTGTAGGTGACAAAATACTTATTTTCCACCATAATTTGCAAATAAATTCATTAAAAATCCTACAATGTGATTTTCTGGAGAAGAAAATTCTCAATTTGTCTGTCATAGTTGACGTGTACCTATGATGAAAATGACAGGCCTCCCTCATCTTTTTAAGTGGGAGAACTTGCACAATTGGTGGCTGACTAAATACTTTTTTCCCCCACTGTATATATATGTGCAGTGGTGTAAAGTAACTGAGTAAAAATACTTTAAAGTACTACTTAAGTAGTTTTTGTGGGTATCTGTACTTTATTTTTGACTACTTTTACTTTTACTCCAATACATTTTCCCTGACACCCAAAAGTACTCGTTACATTTAAAATGCTCAGGCAGGACAGCAATATGGTCTAATTCATGCACCTATCCATATAACGCGTTGTTATCCCTACTGCCTCTGATGCAGCGCACTCACTAAACTAAAATACTGCATTTGTGATGTCTTGAGTGTTGGAGTCTCTCAGACCATGAGAAACAAGATTCTCTGGTCTGATGAAACCAAGATTGAACTATTTGGCCTGAATGCCAAGCGTCACGTCTGGAGGAAACCTGCCACCATCCCTACGGTGAAGCATGGTGGTGGCAGCATCATACTGTGGGCAACGCAGGAGTGGCTTCAGGACAAGTCTCTGAATGTCCTTGAGTGGCCCAGCCAGAGCCCGGACTTGAACCCGATCTAACATCTCTGGAGAGACCTGAAAATAGCTGTGCAGTAACGCTCCCCATCCAACCTGACAGAGCTTGAGAGGATCTGCAAAGAAGAATGGGAGAAACTCCCCAAATACAGGTGTGCCAAGCTTGTAGCGTCATACCCAAGAAGACTCGAGGCTGTAATCGCTGCCAAAGGTGCTCCAACAAAGTACTGAGTAAAGGGTCTGAATACTTATGTAAATGTGATATTTCCGTTTTTTATTTTTAATAAATTAGCAAACATTTCTAAAAACCCGTTTTTGCTTTGTCATTATGGGGTATTGTGTGTAGATTGATGAGGAAAACAAACAATTTTAATCAATTTTACAATGAAGCTGTAACGTAACAAAATGTGAAAAAAGTCAATGGGGGCTGAATTCTTTCCAAAGGCACTGTATATGGACCCCGACCACAGTTGAGTGATTAAGGAGGAAGTCAAGTTAAGATGTGTGAGGCTGCCTGTCTCTTTCTCTCTGGTGCGTCTCTGATAACACCCACATCAGCTGTACGTACGCATATAGCTTGTTGTGTTTATCTACAACACTCAGACACTAGTCTGATCTGGGCCTACTACAGTAGGATACATATCATCTGTCTATATATGACCGGAAGGAAAAAAGCTAACAAAGCCTTGACATATTTCGACGGCAGGAATGTTTCTGGAATGTCACACCATTCAAAACACACATACACAGACAAACGACACCAAAGTGTAGATGGATGAAGACATAATATCAACCAACCCTAACTTTAAATCTTGATTTAACATTTTATTATTAACAATTGGGGTTAATGGGGTAACTTGGGTGTTATTTAGACCAAAACAACAGTTTGGTAGGAGTGTTGAGTACAGAATGGTAAATAGTGGGTCAACTCAACGAAGTGCACTCGGAAGTATACATCCAAATGTCCAAATCTAACTGCATACATACACATTTCCCTGACCAAGAGAAGAATAACATGTCATTCAATTTAACATCAGGTGATTCTAAAAAATTGGCTGCATTTTACCATTCAATAACATACACCCAGATATTCACTTGACTTGCTAAAAATAATCCCACACGCAGTTAGCTAACAGAACTGACCAGTTAACAGAACAGTAGAAGTGAGGTGAGGTTCTGTAAAGGATAGATTCTGACTGACCAAACAAACATAATTCCAGCCTCATTCAAATCAAACGCAATTATCATGTCATTATATTAAGGACACCTCTGAAACTTCTCCAAATACAGGTAGTTTTGAAAAGTCACCCGTCAATGTTAATTCACTATAATGCAGAGATGCTATAGGTGTATCAAACATTTCAGTTGGTAAGGAATGCTTTTAGGTGACTATAAATCAATCAATCATTCAGCCACACTTTTCATTCAAATTTCTTTGTACTGTATATACAAGTATTTATTCGTATACGTCTGTCCATGCATCTGAGTATTTGATAAACACATAGGGCTGGTTTCCCAGACACAGATCAAGCCTAATGCTGGACTATAAAGCAAACTCAATGGAGAATCTCAATCGAAAATGCTTTTAAGTTCAGGTTTAGGCTGAATCTGTGTCCGGGAAACCAGCCCACAGGGAGTCTTACAGGCATCTTTAGTCACATCAGCATTTTGCTTCAAATCACACGTTCTACACTCAGGGTGAGGTGATCATTTGTCAAATATGACAAAATGTCAAGTCGTAACTCAGAATATTGAGCCAATAATATCTTTGAAAATAAATATCAATATCTTACAGAAAATGCACTTGAGGAAGGCATTGTTGGGTAATTCAATCTCAAGGTTGTTTTTTCGTTTTTGCACCCCCTCAAAATCGTAATGAGTTATGACGTTTTACAAAATGTCTATTAAAGCACAGCCTTAAAGGAGAATTCCACCCAAAAACTATGTTTTGGTATTTATTTCATTAATCCATTGTTGACATAGTCCCAAAATGTTTTGCATGTCAGCAATCAAGTTAAGATAAATAACTTTAAAAATGCAGCAATATTTTTACATTTTAGCAGACGCTCTTATCCAGAGCGACTTACAGTTAGTGAGTGCATAAATGTTTCATACTGGCCCCCCGTGGGAAACGAACCCACAACCCTGGCGTTGCAAGCGCCATGCTCTACCAACTGAGCTACAGGAGGCCAGTATTTCTGTATTTTGACATTTATATATCTTAAACTTGATTGGTGACGGATTTTGGGACTACATTAACACTGGACTAATTAAACAAATATCAAAATATACATTTTTGGGTGGAGTTTTCATTTAAAACACAATGGTGTGACCAGAAAGTCACTCCTGATTTTAAGATGGGGACATTAGTGACACTTTGTGAGTTAATAAAATCAGACCAATAGCTAATATCTTGACAGGTGAGTCTCCAGGTACATGGTCAATCAGATATGAATGATAACATACCTAATGATGCCAACAGTTCCACTGAGAGATGATTTAAGAAACAACTTATCGAGGTCTGTGTTGGTGTTTTCTAACTGATAAAAACATTTGAGGTTGACGGTTTTCTCCATATCCCTTTTGCTATTTGGCATTTTGAGGGAAAATCCTGAAACTAACAAATCAGAGGTTATGTGATTTCAACACTGTACCACCCACTGTAGTGGCACGCTGAAAGGTTGATACAAGTTGGCATGGAACCCTGACCCCAACCATCACAACTAAGTAACTTTATGATTTTACAAAAAACAAAGACCTCTCAAAACAATACATCTATTTCACTCTTTGTACTACTTATCAGAATTCTTGTATTCATTGCAAAACATTCACAAATGATAACTAAAATCTTAAAGCATTCAGCTTACTTTCCTGATTATGCTCTCCTGGAGATCTCATTCAGGGACTGGGTTAAACAAAAATATCTTTATATAAAATGAGAGGGCTTGTTTCCATTCCACCAAAATAACTGCATGAACAGGGAAGATATGAACTAGTAACATTTAATTTGCATAATTTTAAAATGTTTTTCATAAGCACAAGCCATTGCACTCTTAAGCCTACCACCATGATGGCATTACAATGCACATATACAAATAAAATGTTTGCTAATATTATAAACTTTATTCATGAATAAGTAGAAAGAGTGAAACAGGAACGTTTCAGAGACTTGTTAAAATATATCTGAGAGATATAAGACATTTACACCACATGTAAACATTATAGCTGTGTTTGTGGCTTTGCACTTCTCTCAAACGCTAAAATTTTCAAATTAAAACACTGTATGAGAACAGTCCAAGGAGAGTCGGGGGTGGGGGGAGCAGGGCTTTGAGCAGTCATGTGGTTCTGAACTCTTTCTCTCTTTTCAGCCGGCGATTTTCTCTATCTCATCCAGATCATCTGTGTCCAGCTTCTCGATCTTCTTATCTGTGGATGATTGAGGATAAGGTCATTGTAAAGACCGTCACACTCTTGGGGACGGTTTTCCCGGACATTATTTAGTCCTGAACCAAAAAGCAAGCTCAATGAAGAATCTCCATGGAAAACGCTTTTTAGTTCATACTAGGCTTGATCCGTGTCCGGGAAAACTGACCTCGAAGTTTAAAAATCATTTGGGAGGGGTAGCAAATTTGATTTGAAAGGTCAATAAATAAATTATTTATTCAGACATCCTGACTTACTGAAGTGATCCTGGATCTTGTTGAGGATGTTCATGCTGAACCTGCTGTCCACCATGTTGATGGCCAATCCCCGCTTCCCAAAACGACCCGTGCGGCCAATCCGGTGCAGGTAAGTCTCGTTGTCTGGGTTACCGTCTCTGTCCACCGGCAGGTCAAAGTTTATCACCACGGAAACCTGCTCCACGTCGATACCTGGAGGGAGAGTCAAGGGTCAGATTATAGACAGCTGAGAATATGTGAATGGACAGACTGAACATTATAAAAGTAGTGTACAACATATCCAATAACTACCCAGGAGCAGAATACTAAAACTAATTCAATGAAGACCAGTGTATTAATGTAACGTTAACAGTCTACGTCGTCCATCTGAAGAGGAGTTGAACAGTTACTGTTGCATCACTAGCTAAAAAGGGCCTACTCCTTCATTTGAAACTCTTCAAGAATCAATAGGTATACCATTAATTAAAATGATTCAAAAACATCTGTAAATATCAGACTGGGCCTTTAAATAAAGACCAGTAGTTTGAGTGAGTGAGTTACCTCTGGCACAGACGTTGGTGGTGACCAGGACCTTCTCCTTTCCATCTCTGAAGCGGTCGATGACAGCAGCTCTCTGCTCCACCTGCATCTCACCACTGAGCAGCGCCACCTGGTGGCCCTCCCGGGACAGCTCACCTGCCAACCACCCTGCCGTTTTCCTGGTCTGAGGGGGAAAGAGAGAGAGACAAGGGGATAAAGTACACAGAGAGAAACACCAGATCCCAAATCAACCCCCGACCCACTGGAAACCTCTCCTTTAGCTCCTAGTGTTAGATCTGAGATGATTAAATAGGTATAAAACAATATGGTAATAGCTTTCCATCTCGCCATACTGCTTACATTATTAACATTTTCAGATTTAACACTTATGTGACTAAATACCACAGTGTGTGCACTCACTGAATCACCAATCTACAAATCCCCTTACCTTACATACCAAACCACTTCCTCATAATCCCCTTACCTTACATACCAAACCACTTCCTCATAATCCCCTTACCTTACATACCAAACCACTTCCTCATAATCCCCTTACCTTACATACCAAACCACTTCCTCATAATCCCCTTACCTTACATACCAAACCACTTCCTCATAATCCCCTTACCTTACATACCAAACCACTTCCTCATAATCCCCTTACCTTACATACCAAACCACTTCCTCATAATCCCCTTACCTTACATACCAAACCACTTCCTCATAATCCCCTTACCTTACATACCAAACCACTTACTCATAATCCCCTTACCTTACATACCAAACCACTTACTCATAATCCCCTTACCTTACATACCAAACCACTTACTCATAATCCCCTTACCTTACATACCAAACCACTTACTCATTATGTGATCAAGATAAGCAATTATACGCCTCGCTCAAACTAATCCCTTCAAACACGTTGATTAACTGGAATAACAAACTCACATGACAGAAGATCATGGCCTGAGCGATGGTGATGGCTCTAACTCACATGACAGAAGATCATGGCCTGAGCGATGGTGATGGCTCTAACTCACATGACAGAAGATCATGGCCTGAGCGATGGTGATGGCTCTAACTCACATGACAGAAGATCATGGCCTGAGCGATGGTGATGGCTCTAACTCACATGACAGAAGATCATGGCCTGAGCGATGGTGATGGCTCTAACTCACATGACAGAAGATCATGGCCTGAGCGATGGTGATGGCTCTAACTCACATGACAGAAGATCATGGCCTGAGCGATGGTGATGGCTCTAACTCACATGACAGAAGATCATGGCCTGAGCGATGGTGATGGCTCTAACTCACATGACAGAAGATCATGGCCTGAGCGATGGTGATGGCTCTAACTCACATGACAGAAGATCATGGCCTGAGCGATGGTGATGGCTCCGTAGATGTTGCAGAGGGCCATGAACTTCTCCTCTTTGCTGTTACAGAGGACGTAGTACTGTTTGATGGTGTCCAGAGTCTCCTCCTCCCTCTTCAGCTTGATGATGTTGGGTTCTGGGACGATGCGCTGAGCAAAGTTCCACACAGTCTCCTCGAACGTTGCCGAGAACAGCAGCATCTGGCACTCTTTGGGTAGCATCCTGAGAGGGAGAAAAGGGGTCAGCATGGTGGGTTGGTTTTATAACTTTAGGCAACTTCCTGAAACACAGAGAGAGAGGACTAAGGGGTCAATGTGTGTGAATGTGACTGTGTGTGTACCTCTGAATGCGTATGCTCTGGTCCTGATGACCCTGTGTAGCGATCATGACGTCAGCTTCGTCCAGGACAAACACTTTGATTTTCTTGGGGTCGATGAACTTGAACTTCAGACACCAGTCCAGCATGGTGCCTGGCGTTCCAATCACGACCTGCTCCTGGAGCTGGGTACCTCTCTGCACTGGGGGGGAGAGGAAGAGAGAGTATTTCCCTTTTCACACTGTAGTGCCGAGCCCAATTTAACTGTGGTTCTGATCTTTTCTTTTCACATTGTCCTTTTCAGCACGGTTCCAACAACCACGGTGGATGATTAACCTGGTCATACCAGTGTTCCACTCCGTTTGAAATGCAGTAAAATCAGTTGAGAGACTTTAAAGGACTCCGTAGTAGACTTACGCTTGTTTCCTCTGATGGCGTAGACTAGTTTGACCTCTGAATAGTGCTTCCCCATCTGCTCAATGACCTTCCCTGTCTGCAGGGCCAGCTCATAGGTAGGAGACACACACAGAGCCTGGGAGAGAGGAAGGTGTTAGATAGCTCATAGGTAGGAGACACAGACAGAGCCTGGGAGAGAGGAAGGTGTTAGAGAGCTCATAGGTAGGACAATCAAATGGACAGGGTACCCTAATGAAAGTGACCCTGAGAAGTCAAGGGTCAGGGCTCAACTCACCTGTGGGAACTTGTTGTTGGGGTCAACGTGACTGAGCATGGCCAGGACAAAGGCAGCAGTTTTCCCCGTCCCCGACTGAGACTGGGCGATCAGGTTCTGTGGGCTGGTAGCCATCAGAGCACGGGTCAGATCAACAAAGAGAGAGAAGGCACCAGGAGAGAGGAAAGACAGAGCTTCATGATTGTTCTGGAAAAACTGTTTAATGGCCAATCAGATCAGTTAAATGGAAATTAGTTAAATAGAACAGTTTGATTTCAGTTTAAATGGAGAAGAGCAAGACAGGCCAGAGGATGGTTGGTATTACAGAGGTGGACTTTACACAGCACTTCTCATGTCTATCGGCCGTCTGTCCAAACAAAACGAATCATCTCTCTAGTCTGTGAACTAGTTTGGGATTCAGGGAATGAATATTAACTTGATACAAAGAGCTGAGAGATGTGTGTGACTGACTAAGAGGAATCAGGAAGTGTCTGACTGAAGCTCTCTGTAAACTCACGGTTCTGCGAGCATCATGGGTAATGCGTTCTCTTGGATTTTGGAGGGGCGGTTGAAGCCCATGGCGTACACTCCCTGGAGCAGCTGAGGTTTACTGTGGGGACAGGGAGGGGAAACAATGTGAGTATTAAGGGGACACGTTTTTTTATTCAAAACTGAGAAATATATGGACACAAAGCCAGGGGCCAAGAGCACATTACATGTGCCAACAGCAAAACAGATTCTGATCAAAACTGTAATTTGTGTTCAATAACATTCATAACACCTTGTGCACTCTAACAGTTCATAGGCACCTCATAGACAGCTCTTAGAGTTTATAGATAGGACATAAAGTAACTTACAGCCGCAGCTCCTCAAAGGACTTGACAGAGTAAAGCGGAGAGTTGGGATCCCTCTGTAGGACTTCTACTTGATTGGTTGTGTTCACTAGATTACTGCGTATCAACTTATTCAACAACGATTGTGCCGCCTTGTCATCTGAAAACAGTTACATTACATTTACAATGCAGTGACATAATATTCCAGAGGTCTGTTTGGACCTGCCACAACACATTTAAGGAGAGACAGTCTACAGGAGAATATAGACTAGCTGTCGTGAAGCAAAGCTTTGGCAACACCAGTATGACAACATTTGCATCTGATGATCAAACACAAACCAGGCTGTCAAAGACAGCTCAACTGAAACACCATAATCTGGCTCTGCTGTGAAAGGAAACACTGCCATCCAGTGGTGTAAAGTACTTAACTACAAATACTTTAAAGTACTACTTAAGTAGTTTTTTGGGGTATCTGTACTTTACTATTTATATTTTTGCCAACTTTTACTTCACTACATTCCTAAAGACAATAATGTACTTTTTACTCCATACATTTTCACTGACACCCAGAAGTACTCCTGTAACATTTTGACATGAAAATGTTCATGCACTTATATCAAGAGAACATCCCCGGTCATCCCTACTGCTTCTGATCTGGTGGACTCACTAAACACAAATGCTTTGTTTGTAAATTATGTCTGAATGTTGGAGTGTGCCCCTGGCTATCCGTCAATAAAAAAGAACATAGTGCTGTCTGGTTTGCTTAATATAAGGAATTTGAAATGATTTATACTTTTAATACTTAAGTATAATAATAATAATAATAATAAGCCATTTAGCAGACGCTTTTATCCAAAGCAACTTACAGTAATGCGTGCATTATTTAATTTTTTTGTGTATGGTGGTCCCAGGGCTCGAACCCACTACCCTGGCGTTACAGGCGCAGTGCTCTACCAGCTAAGCTACAGAGGACCACTCATACACAAGTATATTTTAGCAGTTCCATTTACTTTGATACTTAAAGTATATTTAAAACCAGTATTTTACTGGGTGACTTTCACTTTTACTTGAGTCATTTTCTGCTAAGGTATCTTTAATTTTACTCAAGTACGACAATTGAGTACTTTTTCCACCACTGCTGCCATCCCATGTTGTATTTTTTGTGTGGCCTGATAGTAAACACCTTTATCGTCCTCCTCCCCTGTTTTGTCTCCCTCTCCTCCGCCTGTCTTCGCAGGCATTGCAGCGCTGGCGGCTGCTGCTGTGTTTGTTGTCGTTGTCGTTGTCGCAGTGTTGGCAGTACCTGAGGGTACCATATGGTATTTGTTAGCTTGTGGTATCCTCAGAACAAGTTGACACATACATTTTCAATGAATTTTTGTTTTGTTTTCACCCAAACCACCTTAACAAGAATTGATTCACAAATTGAAGTTATAATCCTTCAGACCATGTGTTATGCTAAACCACATAGCCTGTTTATAGTAGGCAATCTGGGATAACTTCTCTTACCATTTTCCTCGGGCTTGTCTTTGATTTGTAGGCTACCAATCTAGGAAATATAAACAAGCATCATTTGGTTTTAGGATGTCCAGGAATGTTTTGAAACGGATCATTTCAAGGCAAGGCATGTGCTGCACAAATTGGAGTGCGTGAACATGTGGGATCTCCCTCCCTGGACAGGTGCCATTTCTTGACCACGTCGGAAGTCGTGACAAGTAATACATGAAATCGGGTTAACGCTAACGAGATCGAATTGTATGTAACAGAGCACGTGGTGTCATATAATGCAATGGAAACAATTAATTACTAATAGCTAGTTGATCTGGCTAGCCAAGTTAGCAAATTCACGTTAATTAGCTAACGTTTGCTAACTCGACTAGTTAGTTAGTTAACGTTAACCAAACTAGCTAGTTACAGTAGGCATTATGATGTGAACGGTAACACGGTCGAGGGGTCATGTATGTAATGTTGATTGATTGCAATATCGGTAAACTATTTAACTAGCTAGTTAATTAAGGTAATCTGCAATATTTAAACAGAATCTATAGCTAACGTTAACCAGCCGAAGCATAGGCCCATGACCCGACACATTTCGCCAAAGAGCAGTTCGGCTCGTGCTTACCGATTCCGCAGCGGCTTCTTGCTCGTCCACAGCCTGGGCCCAGGAGTCCGTTGACATGGCAGCTGTTATTCGGTCACGCTCGTGCTCTTATCTCACCACCGGATTCCCCCGAGTTTCAACACTGAGCTAGGAACCCTAACAAAATCTTTCCAAAGTCTGAAAAATAAACTAATAGTACAATGGCGTGACGAAATCGGCTCCGGAGTGCACCAGTGCGTCCGTAAAAAGGTCCGGGTGGAGAGATTGAGACAATAGCAAAACAGTTCCTCCCAGCTGGAACTAAAAAAAAGTGTATCCAAATATACTGTATATGGGTTAGCTAGTTCTGTCTAGTGCATTTAATCCAAAATATCCTGCCTGGATGAAATGATTGTTGTTCCGCTATGGTTTTACGCTATAATTTATTTGCCGTAAAATATCAGTTTCTCACAATATGTATTTAGTACTTTACGCAGCCTCTAGAAATCGCCTTAAACGTTCTGTCTTGAGACCGGAAATAGTGGTTGTATTTAAGACATTTTTTAACATATTTATTTTATTTTATTATTTGTAATATATATTTTTTACCTTTATTTAACTAGGCAAGTCAGTTAAGAACAAATTCTTATTTACAATGACGGCCTACACCGGCCAAACCCGGACGACGCTGGGCCAATTGTGCGCTGCCCTATGGGACTCCCAATCACAGCCGGTTGTGATACAGCCTGGAATCGAACCAGGGGGTCTGTAGTGACGCCTCAAGCACTGAGATGCAGTGCCTTAGACCGCTGCGCCACTAGGGAACAGTTTGCGACTATTTGCATTAAAGACTACACCAGTATGAATCCATACCTATACCTAGGTAATACAACCCTATATTTCCAAGGGACATATATTTCCGTCTGTCCGTCCGTCCGTCTGTCCGTCTGTCTATCTATCTATCTATCTATCTATCTATCTATCTATCTATCTATCTATCTATCTATCTATCTATCTATCTATCTATCTATCTATCTATCTATCTATCTATCTATCTATCTATCTATCTATCTATCTATCTATCTATCTATCTATCTATCTATCTATCTATCTATCTATCTATCTATCTATCTATCTATCTATCTATCTCTGCATATGTGTGTGTGTGTCCAGCTGCATTGACCAGAGTCAGTGTCCATTAAACCTACAGAGACCCAGAGGTCACCTCTCTGAAGCCTGTCTTCACTGATGCTACTGCTGCTGCTTCATTACACGCAGAATTGATTTCACACCTTGCTTGGTCTCGTTCCGCTGGGATGGAGAGAGCAAGAGAGAGAGCGAGAGAGAGAGAGAGCGAGAGAGAGAGGGGGGGGGGGGGGGGTGGAGGGGGATACCTAGTCAGTTGTACAACTGAATGCATTCAACTGAAATGTGTCTTCCGCATTTAACCCAACCCCTCTGGATCAGAGGGCTGCCTTAATCGAGATCCATGTCTTAGGCGCCCTGAGAGGGAGAAAGAGAGAGGACCGAGAGAGAAAGAGAGAGAGGACAGAGAGAGAGAAAAACAGAGAGAGCAATAGAGAGAGAGAGAGAGAGAGAGAGAGAGAGAGAGAGAGATAGAGAGAGAGAGAGAGAGAGAGAGAGAGAGAGGGGGGGGGGGGGGGGGAGGGAGAGAGAGAGTGAGATCCATAGATGACAACAGTGGTATTGGATAGACTGAAGAAGACTATATTCAATTCAATTCAAGGGGCTTTATTGGCATGGGAAACATATGTTTACATTGCCAAAGCAAGTGTAATGGATAAACAAAAGTGAAATTAACAATAAAAAGTGAACAGTAAATATTACACTCACACAAGTTCCAAAAGAATAAAGACTTTTCAAATGTCATATTATGTATATACACAGTGTTGTAATGATGTGCAAATATCGACTATATTGATCAGTGTTTCCATGTCATTCATCGATGGTGATCATTATAGGAGGAGGAGGAGGAGGAGGAGGTGGAGGAGGAAAGGGGCTCTGGGTCTTTCAGAGCTTTAGTTTGGAGATACATTTGGCAAGGCTTAAAAGGGAGTCTTGAGTTTATTGTTGCCTACCAAACTGCGGCTGCGCTGGAGGAGGTATCCATGGCAACCAAAAGTGTAAAATTAAGGATTCAGTTCCCCCGAGAATGTTCGGAGGAGACAAAGAAAAGGGAGACCTGTTATCACATCAATGAGACTCAGTGGAACGCATTGAACACAGATAAGAAGACCGTGGATGTTGTCTGGAATTGATAGTGGGAGAAGACTGTGTATGTGTGTGTGTGCGTGCTTGCGTATTTATATTTTGCCGTTGTACCACATCATCTACACTGAGTATACAAAACATGAAGAACACCTCAATTCGTTGGGGCATGCACTCTACAAGGTGTCGAAAGTGTTCCACATGGATGTTGACTCCAATGCTTCCCACAGTTGTGTCAAGTTGGCTGGATGTCCTTTGGGTGGTGGATCATTCTTGATACACACGGGAAAGTGATGAGCGTGAAAAATCCAGCAGTGTTGTCGTTCTTGACACAAACCAGTATGCCTGGCCAGTGTTGTAGGTCTCGAGACCACATATTGAGTGTCTCGGTTTTGTCTCGGTGTCGGATACATTTGCACTCGTTCTTGACTCGGTCTCGGACAGTGAGTACTCGTGTAATTTCTTCCCGAGACCAGCCGAGACCAGTGGAGTAAGAAAACTCACAATTATCAGCTTCCATTCAGTCAGCGCATAAAACCGCGAAACATTAATATCTTAACAGCCTTCATATCTATTATAGACATGTTTGCACAGCGGATAACCAATAGGCCTTCAGTGTGTGACAGGTTCGTGATGCTGAAAGGACAGCAACCGTAATAGCAGCGCACTCATGAAGGAGAGAGCACTTTTTGTAAAACACAAAAGGCCAGTGGTGTTGTGGAGGCTATATGCAGGTATAAACCGTATACCCACTTTTTTCAGTGGGCATTGCTTATACTCACTTCTTAATCCCTACTGATGCATATCAAAGTAGTGTAGTGGAGGTATACGACTTATCAATGATGTAGTACAATAGAGAAATCATGCACAAAGTAGCCTACACAATCGCAAAGCACGTGAAATATATTCACATTCGCGCCTTACACATCTGCAGGCAGCAAGAGTGTGCAGCTCTCAACTGGTTTTGGCACGGAGCAGCCCACAGAAGAATGACATCCGTAGCGGGTAGGGGTAGGGTAGGAAAGACGTTTCAACTTATGACATTTACAGTGCCTTGCAAAAGTATTCACCCCCCTTGTCGTTTTTCCAATTTTGTTGCATTACAACCTGTAATTTAAATGGATTTTTATTTGGATTTCATGTAATGGACATACACAAAATAGTCCAAATTGGTGAAGTGAAATGAAAAAAATTACTTGTTTCAAAAAAGTATAAAAAATGAATAACGGAAAAGTGGTAAGTGCATATGTATTCACCCCCTTCTCTATGAAGTCCCTAAATAAGATCTGGTGCAACCAATTACCTTCAGAAGTCACATAATTAGTTAAATAAAGTCCACCTGTGTGCAATCTAAGTGTCACATGATCTGTCACATGATCTCAGTATATACAGTGGGGAAAAAAAGTATTTAGTCAGCCACCAATTGTGCAAGTTCTCCCACTTAAAAAGATGAGAGAGGCCTGTAATTTTCATCATAGGTACACGTCAACTATGACAGACAAATTGAGAATTTTTTCTTCCAGAAAATCACATTGTAGGATTTTTTATGATTTTATTTGCAAATTATGGTGGAAAATAAGTATTTGGTCACCTACAAACAAGCAAGATTTCTGGCTCTCACAGACCTGTAACTTCTTCTTTAAGAGGCTCCTCTGTCCTCCACTCATTACCTGTATTAATGGCACCTGTTTGAACTTGTTATCAGTATAAAAGACACCTGTCCACAACCTCAAACAGTCACACTCCAAACTCCACTATGGCCAAGACCAAAGAGCTGTCAAAGGACACCAGAAACAAAATTGTAGACCTGCACCAGGCTGGGAAGACTGAATCTGCAATAGGTAAGCAGCTTGGTTTGAAGAAATCAACTGTGGGAGCAATTATTAGGAAATGGAAGACATACAAGACCACTGATAATCTCCCTCGATCTGAGGCTCCACGCAAGATCTCACCCCGTGGGGTCAAAATGATCACAAGAACGGTGAGCAAAAATCCCAGAACCACACATGGGGACCTAGTGAATGACCTGCAGAGAGCTGGGACCAAAGTAACAAAGCCTACCATCGGTAACACACTACGCCGCCAGGGACTCAAATCCTGCAGTGCCAGACGTGTCCCCCTGCTTAAGCCAGTACATGTCCAGGCCCGTCTGAAGTTTGCTAGAGTGTATTTGGATGATCCAGAAGAGGATTGGGAGAATGTCATATGGTCAGATGAAACCAAAATATAACTTTTTGGTAAAAACTCAACTCGTCGTGTTTGGAGGACAAAGAATGCTGAGTTGCATCCAAAGAACACCATACCTACTGTGAAGCATGGGGGTGGAAACATCATGCTTTGGGGCTGTTTTTCTGCAAAGGGACCAGGACGACTGATCCGTGTAAAGGAAAGAATGAATGGGGCCATGTATCGTGAGATTTTGAGTGAAAACCTCCTTCCATCAGCAAGGGCATTGAAGATGCCTGCATTCAGGATGACAATGATCTCAAACACACCGCCCGGGCAACGAAGGAGTGGCTTCGTAAGAAGCATTTCAAGGTCCTGGAGTGGCCTAGCCAGTCTCCAGATCTCAACCCCATAGAAAATCTTTGGAGGGAGTTGAAAGTCCGTGTTGCCCAGCGACAGCCCCAAAACATCACTGCTCTAGAGGAGATCTGCATGGAGGAATGGGCCAGAATACCAGCAACAGTGTGTGAAAACCTTGTGAAGACTTACAGAAAACGTTTGACCTGTGTCATTGCCAACAAAGGGTATATAACAAAGTATTGAGAAACTTTTGTTATTGACCAAATACTTATTTTCCACCATAATTTGCAAATAAATTCATTAAAAATCCTACAATGTGATTTTCTGGATTTTTTTTCTCATTTTGTCTGTCATAGTTGACGTGTCCCTATGATGAAAATTACAGGCCTCTCTCATCTTTTTAAGTGGGAGAACTTGCACAATTGGTGGCTGACTAAATACTTTCCCCCCCCACTGTATACACCTGTTCTGAAAGGCCCCAGAGTCTGCGACACCACTAAGCAAGGGGCACCATGAAGACCAATGAGCTCTCCAAACAGGTCAGGGACA